AATTAAGTTTATAGAGTACAATAGGCAATGGCAAAATATTCCAGTGACTAAAATCCTTATTTATTGAATGTTATTATCCAGTGGTTATCGTATTCAAGCAACGTAGATAAAAAAACAAACTTATTATTTATTGAAAAAAAAACTATATTTATTAGTTAGATATAAATTGATCTTGACCAAGAATATTGTTAGGAAAAATATTGTTACCTAGCCTGACCTAACGTCATTGTTTGTTTTGTTTTTCACGATTTATAGGTCAAATTGGTGACTACTGCAATCATCAAAAAAAGTATCAAAGAACAATGCTAATGAACATCAATAAAGTTGAAACTGATTATACATATCAAATAGAACATTCTCATCAACAGTAAAAAATTAAATTCTATAAAGAAGGGAAGTATTGTCATTGATTTTGTAAAACAGTATCTCTTCACAAGATTCAGGAAATTTCACAATGTAAACAAATTTATGAAATATATAAATTAAATCACACGTTTTTGAGCCGAAACTAGGTACTATTTAGTAAGTTTTTGTTAATATTCGTGCAATTTGGTTAAGTATTTCCACCGTGAGAAAAATAAAACCTGTAGATGTCAATGCTCTCCCCGCAATACAGAAAAGGTTAAGAATGGATATTGTCAAGGACAAAAATATCCCTAACATCCATACAGCGCAGTAGCTCTTGTAACCGTGCACTAGGCCTCATTGTCAAGGTCTGCAACGTTGTGGTTGTGCCTCTTGATCCTTTACCATATCGGTCTTCCAGGAGGCAATAGCAGCTTTGGGCAGCCCACCTTTAACAATTGAAAAGTGTTTGGCTGTGAAATGGATTTCTTGGAAAGAGTCTTATCCCTCTAATTCGTGGACTTCATCCTCTAGGGGTATATCAAGCAATTTCCTGGTCATTAGTCACTACAACCAGTTATGAGCTCAGCAGTGCTGATTAGTGACTATCCTGGAGTTTCTTGGCCAAGTGACTTTTCACCATGTCAAAGCGATCTGCTAGCCAAGCTCTCCCACAAGCCTAATCTGCACGCTAGTGGTTCCTAACGGTAACTCAACACCCTGGTCTTGAGGTTGGGTTGAGAGCATGAACGTAGCTAAAAGCCTTCATTCAGTAGAGGATTTCTTTTAGACCATACCACATTCTCTAAATTCAATTTCACCCCAGTTACTGTTTCCTCCTCTGCCCCATAAGTTCTTCACGATTTTTAAAAATGCATATTAATTAAGTAAAATACAGATTTAATTATATACAGAAAAAAAACTAATTGAAAATAGAGAAGCATATTTGGTTTAAACTCCACAAAAAATTAAGTCCTGGTCACAGAACCAAAATTTTAACTTAATAACTTAGACTGTTTTTTTTTTTCATTTGAAACTAAAAACAAAAGGTAATTATTAAATCTACTGAAACAGGAGGTTCTTAGAATTTGTATGCTAAGCGTAAATAACTCAAACTTGACTAAAAGAAAGCAAAAGGAAATGATAGTTTTAACTGAATGAATTCTAAATATAGTTTGGAAGAATATTCAAATTCAAGCCTATCAGGATTCTTTAGATTACTGTTAGAAGTCAAGTATCATTATTCAAAAATGGAGAGGCAGAGTCTCCAATATTTCTATCGTTGCATTTTTTGAGCACACCAAAAATAATCAAAATGTAACTAAAGATTTATCTAGTGCAGTGGCCACACACATAGAATCGCATATAGCTGCATAAATCCTGATTGCAAAATTTAGCTTATTTCAACGAACGATAAATCTTATTCACATAAGACTAAACATTTGATAAGTTACCGAACCAAAGATATTTTATTTTTGTTAGGAAAGAGTTACTATTCTTATATCACACACATACATACTTAGGGGTCCAAAGTATTGGTAACAATGAGCACTTGTGGGGAAGTTTAGTGGTCCAAAGTATGAGCAATAATGAACACTTGCGAGATAAATTTAGGGGTCCAAAGTATTTGGTAACAATGAGCTCTTGTTGGAGAAGTTTAGGGGTCCAAAGTATTAGCAATAATGAACACTTGTGAGATAAGTTTAGGGGTCCAAAGTATTGGTAACAATGAGCACTTGTGGAGGAAGTTTAGGGGTCCAAAGTATTAGCAATAATGAACACTTGCGAGATAAATTGAGGGGTCCAAAGTATTTGGTAATAATGAGTACTTGTGGAGGAAGTTTAGGGGTCCAAAGTATTAGCAATAATGAACACTTGCGAGATAAATGTAGGGGTCCAAAGTATTTGGTAATAATGAGTACTTGTGAGGGAAGGTTAGGGATCCAAAGTATTGGCAGTAATGAACACTTGTGAGATAAATGTAGGGGTTCAAAGTATTTGGTAATAATGAGTATTTGCGGGGAAATGTTCCTTGATTTCTCGGAAATTGAAGCCAACACAATTTTGTAGAATTCTTTATTCACTATAAAAAAAATAAGTCATAATATTAAACTCCT